GCCTATAAATCAGGTCAGTGCTGTGTTGTCCGGAAGTTAAATTTACTTTTTTTATAAATTTATTCATATTTGAGTTTGTTTATTTTACTTTGGTGTTTAATTATCTATCTATTTAAAAGTTTTGTTTATTATATATACCAATTCAAGTAAGTCTTATGGAAGGAATTTTAATTATTTTTATTAAGTTATATTTCCGTTCTTAATGTCTTTGTAGTGCTCGGGCATTTAAGAATAGTGGTACACTACTCTCTCTCTCTCTCTCTCTCCATTTATTTTGTACCACTAAGTCTTACCTCAAGTGATAAAAACAAAAGACACCTTTCCCAAAACTTGACAAACTTTTACACAATTACGAAAGGAAATTGTCGACTCTTCACAGTAAAAAAAATAACAATATATATCTCTGAAAAGTATTTATGCTGTGAATTATATAACCAAACATATTATTCCCAGTAAAAATAACGTTTATAGTGTGTGTGTGTTTTAGTAATAATATACAGTACTATATACAGTACTCGGTAAACAATATTTTATGTCGTATGTTTTATTATTTTCTAATATGATAATTCTGGTGGAAAAATAGATGTCGTAATGTTTATTTCATAATGTAGTTGGTGATAAAGGTTTTATACAGTTAAATTTATTTCCTAATATATGTTACCCCATGATATATATTTTATGCCGTTATGTATTAGTATTATCAGCTAAAATTTCAACATTGTCTTAATCATAGATTGTAATAGATCTATTTCACAATACTGTATAGATTATGTAAATGTTTAAATCTTACGGAGTTTTTAATGGTTAAATCTCAGAGTTCTTCTTGGTTAAATTTCACTGAGTTGTCATTGGTTAAATCTCTCAGAGTTCTTAAATGGTCAGTATACTAGGTAATGTGGTCACGTTATTATTTCCTTGTGTTGTTTACTGTATATGTGACAATGACGAGAATTGGAAGGTTTTATCGAGAGCCAAGTTCTTTATTTCGTGATTTTTTTTGTATCCAGTCGTATTAATGGGATTTTGCTTTGCTAAGACGTTTATCCAGTTATGTTAATGTGACCATTATCCAGTTTTATAAAGGATATGTTATTTATTTTATTATTATCTAGTTATATTTGTATTTTTCTTCACTAGTAAGGTATGTATGTATGTATATCAGCCAATTCGATACGTTCTTATATTTTTTAAGTTACAAGAAGGAAAATTCAACATACGATCCTTGGAAAACTTGAGAAATTTTAAAACCATTCGTCATTAACTAAAGGATAAAATAATAAAAATACAGTTGCGACTTTGGTGGATACAGTTACAGAGAAGAGAAGAAAAATCATCCACATTTTATCTCTGGCACAGTTCACTATTTTCGTTAAACAAATTCTTCGAGGGAGTCAAAATAATAATCTCTCTAGCTATCTCTGAGCTGTGTTCGTTTTTTTTTTTTTATCTCGAGTCAAGTTTCAAAGTCTACCTCGCTGGGCTTTTATTAAACTTAGTTACGTTTTTCTTCTTATGTTCAGTGTATGAGTGTTTGTCCAGTCTGTCATTGAGTACCTTACAGCACTGGCCTAAAACTGTGCAGAATGAAGGTGTTTTGTTAATTTATTTTATTTATTTAAGTTTTTTTTACCCTAGACAGTTGGAACTACATCAATATTTGGTTCTGTGAAAACGTTGACTGTTGGGTGAAATTTAATTGAATATTTTGACTATAAGATGAAATTTATATGAAAAATGTAGATTGGGACTAAAAAAGTTATGAAAACGCTGAATATCGGACAAAATTTATATGAAAACGCTGACTATAATTATCAAAACAATTACTCTAACCAAATTATGCTTAAAAATGTATATAAAAAAAATTCCCCCCCCAAGACAATTGCTTATATGTACAGTATATATGCATTTCAATGAATAAAAATATACTTAACAGTTACCTTGATTGCAATATACCGTGATAATGACAGGATAAAAATAAGGGCAGTAACAAATAATGATTAATTTGGGGTGAATTACTTGATAAAACTGACAGACAAAATAGATGGCGATACAGTATGATGATGAGAATGATGATGATGATGAAGATAAGAGATAGAATAGTGAGTGAATAATGACTAAATACACACTGAACAATTACATAAACTGTATCTTCCTTTTTTTGGGTCAATACTCAATGATCTGATACACAAAATAAACAAAATCACAAAATACATCTTTTTTAGCGAATACTGTAAGAGAACCTGGATAGAAATGGGAAAATGTTTACAAGCACGTGTCACATTACTGAGCCAGATAATAGAGCAGTGTTGATCTGTACACATCTGCATGACAAAGGCGAATACTGACAAAGACTCGGGGAGATATGTCAGTGCTGTGTTAATATATTTCAATAACCAAGGCAGATTATCGAAGGTTCCTACTCTGAATATTCCTTCCTCACATAACTAAAGATGAAAGAGATTGAATCACGCTAAAACACAAAGGTAAACATAGGTAAAAACAGCATTTTTTTTTTTTTGGTCTTAGCTAAAATAGGTTCGCTTAACACCATATAAAATTAGAACGCAGAAACTCCTCAAAGGTTTCTTTCATAAATGCCTTTCCGGAATTTCAGCTAAGTGAACGCACCAAATTAAGAGACTGAGTAAATTTGAAACTATTTTTTAGGGGAAGTATCATTATTATCTTAAATTAACCAGGTAGGTTCATTCTTACATCATAAATTACGTTTCATTCCAACATCTTCAGATAAACTTATAATGTGACCTTGTTTCTTAATGGGATCTTAACTAAATGTAACTTGAGTTCTGCATTTGGTTCCTGTTTTGTTACCACTGTTATTATTATTATCTCTCTCTCTCTCTCTCTCTCTCTCTCTCTCTCTCTCTCTCTCTCTCTCTCTCTCTCTCTCTCTCTCGTGTACGGTGTGTCAGTTTAAAGGGTAAATTAATGATAGGACATTTGAGGTAAATGTCATGACAAATATTGGCAGGTGTGAGGCAGAGATTGAGGCAAATGATGTGGTGTTTAGTTAAAGCCTCACATAGATGTTGGGATAGTGTTATTATTATTATTATTATTATTATTATTATTATTATTATTATTATTATTATTAGTGTTATTATTATTATTATTATTAGTGTTATTATTATTATTAGTATTAGTAGTAATAGTAGTAGTGTTTTTATTATTATTATTATTATTATTATTATTATTATTATTATTATTATATTCCTGCAATCTCGACGTCATTTTGGCCTGTGTCTTTTGAGTCGTAGCCTTAAGTGAGCCAGTAAGTACATACGATTTCACACCACCAGTTAAAAGCTGGAGTTTTATGTTCAAACATATGACTCGAGACGCTGCAGGGTGTGGGAGAACTTCACCCTTCAGCAGGCGGTCCTTGAAGCTGCTGGGGAGGTACACTAAATTACTAATGGTCGGCGTCCGGATTCTCAATGAGTCTTACGTGAATTTTTTCTATCTCTGATTGGGAGCAAGAATACCCATGTACTTATAATATAGTAGTTTCGAGGCTATTTTGGCCACACCTGATGAAGTTAAATGCAGTTCCTTAAGTCACAAGTTTGGTGATGAGTGTAACGTGTGGGCTTTTAAGTAGCAGATGCCCTTCCTCTTATCGTGGTTCCTCGTAATTGTTAATTTGGCGATGGACAGTTCTTATGTCAGTCGCTTTGTTTACTGTGTGTGTGTGTGTGACTGCTGAATGACTATTTAACCACTGCCTCGACTGAACCACTTAAAGACACTATTGAACCACTGCTAATGACCCACTTAATGACTCGACTTAACTACTGAAGAGGTTGTTATTCCTGACATCAAAACAAACTAACATTAACCTGACATAAAAATTCTTTCAAATTCTCAAGAGTCTCATACGTTAAAAAATTTCCCCTTAAAAAAACCCAAGATATATATGAGAACACCTTTAACTTACTACTTAAAATGGCGATGGAAAAACAGAAAAGGTCAAAATGTCGTCGAAATTACACTAAAACTACTGTAACCATATATGCGTTGTCTTGTCATAAACGTGAAAAAACTAAGGCTTGTGACTCTTAAATACACGGGAAATAATTATCCTTCAGTACTACCACCAGAGAATCTACTATATCCTTGGTTAGGTTAGGTTAGGGTAGTGACGAGTACTTGGTTAGGTAGGACGAGCTGGGTTGGATGGGGTCTGTCTACTATATCCTTGGTTAGGTTAGGTAGTGACGAGTACTTGGTTAGGTAGGACGAGCTGGGTTGGATGGAGTCTGGTGCCAGTTGGGTGAGGTGAGGGGGGCGTGGCGTGATGGAGTGGGGTATAGGGGAAGGATTCTATCAGTTAATCAGTCGGGAAAGTTATTCACTGATTTGTTTACTGTAGTTAAATGTTTAAGCAAGATGATGACGATGTTGTTGTTGTTGATGATTACAGTAATACAGTTTCTTCTCATAAATTGTCTGTTTACTAATTAGTACAGTACCATGTGATGGTTTTTAAAGTATAACTGTTATTGATAAGTACCATTTAGCAAGAATTTGTTTAAGGTAACGTGAACTGTAACGTTGTGGAAGTAAATGACTTGTAACGTTGTACACAAATAATATGACTTATAACGTTATATGAAAGACACACTATAGTGACGTTATATACAGTATACAAAGAACTATTTGTAACCTTACGTACAATTTATATTAGACCAGTACTGTAACACGATCTGTAGCGTTATATACAAGAAATGTGGTTTCTGATATACGGGAAACACAATCTGTAACAAAACAAGTAAATGAGACGCTTTGTAACTTAGAAACAATGAGTAGGGGCGTGATATCCGGCCAGAACCACGCGGTACATTGACTTGGTCTGACGATCACATGGAACGACAGCAACAAGTAAGGTCGTTTATTACAGAGGTAAGGCACTCCAACAAGTGGTTAGGGACAGAGGGCCCCTGAGTGGTAGATGCAGGACGCGAGGCGACGTGTCTCACCTGGGGAGGTGTGTGGAGGTGTTGGTCCGGCGGCGTAACGAGAGGTGTATGTGCAGGTGTGGAGGATGCCAGGTGGTCAGTGCTCCTCACACCTTCCAACACACGCTTATATACACCTAGGGCGACATATCTACCCGCCCCCTCGACACTCCCCTCTCTCCTTCTCCCTTCCTTCCTCCCCCCCTCTCTCTCTCCCCCAAGCATAGCCACGCCCACATCCCCCGCGCCACCGTTCGCCACGCCCCTCGTCCCACGCCTTGCGCTGAAGTCGTCCGGCGCCACCACTACTTCCTTGATCTCCTCAGCCTCAAAGCTCACAGGGCATGTCCTCAAGGGTGGGTCCAACACATCGATCTCATTTTCCTCTCTTGCGTGATGGTCAAAGAAATATATGCATTTCATTAGTACCTGTATCGTCCTCCTTAGACAGAAATAAGTCTGTGATGTAATCTATGTCCAGTGACACCTCAAGAACGACGCGTGTTCCTGTACTGTCACACTGGAGCCCTGGTCACTCTCCTCTCCCATAATGAGGTGTTGAGACTTTTAGAAGTTGTGTGTCTTATGAAGCCAAAGTTGTATCTCTCCACTAAATAATCCTGGCAGATGTATCACATAATATCAAAATCACTGTTAACAGGTCATACCACAGCCCATGTCAGTGTGTAGTTGCTGGTGGCAGATCTGTACAGTGGTCTATGGTGGTGTAGAAGTAACAAGTGTCTCGCTTTGTCATTAGACCCGTTTATTTCTCCAGGTGTAAGACGAACTTATTACAAAATTAATTGCCCAGGAAACAGAGTACCTCAACCATACAATATGAATTCAAAATTTATCCAAAAAAGAATTTCCTAGAATTAGAGAACAAACCGAGTCAATAATTTATCAAAAAAGCCACATTCAGTTTTTTCAATTCAAAGTTGATTTACTAGAATAATGAAAAGTGTTCTAAGCTAAAGCCGGAGATATATTTCGACATGTTATAGAGAGTCATCCAGAGATAATCCTACCATATGATTACATACCATTTACATAACAGACGTAAGGCATAATTCCCCATACTGAAGCCTGACACAGAAACAACGGAAGAGTGAGTTACGTGGGACCATTGACTCCTGTACGTGTGTTCGTTATCATACGTCCAGAATAATTATGACTTGTTAATTTTTTTACCTTAATGTTTGTTGTAATAAGAATCTGTAGTCAGTCTCTCTTGTACTTGTGTAAGATTACGATATTATACATCTTACCATTAGAAAATAAAGTGTATTAGTGTATACTGTATATTTAAAGAAATGTGTGTGTGTGTGTGTGTGTGTGTGTGTGTGTGTGTGTGTGTGTGTGTGTGTGTGTGTGTGTGTGTGTGTGTGTGTGTGATATTAACGGAAAGTAACAGACAGATAGACCGAAGAAAACAGGACAGACAGACACGTATACACATAAGACAAACAAAACACACCAACAGCCTCGCACACAAATAACCTAACCTGACACAAAACAAAAATTAAAACATGCAAGTAAAGATTTATAATCCCTTCCCTCTCCCCTCTCTCCCTCCCCTCACCCCTACCCCCTCCCCTATCCCATCCCTCCCCTCCCCACCCCTCCCTTACCTTGTTTACCTGGCAGAAAAGAAGAGTTACATTATGACGCCTCCACCCTTCCCAGAATCCTCCAGGGGGGGGGTTAGATCAACAGCTTCGCCATCCTGACACTCTGCCCTCAACACACCGCCGTTATCTATTTATTTTAGATTATATATGATATTAATTTATATTTATTTATTTTTTTAGATAGAAATGCACTTATCAATATGCTCAAGGTAGTGATCGTTGTCTTGTGTGTGTGTGTGTGTAATTAATGCTTTTTCGGCTCTTCAGTATAATTTAGCTTATGCTTTCGTTTTCATGGTAGCTTCAATAACACTACCGCACACTTGGGTTGTCATGGTAAGGCCTGAGGTGGGGAAGGGATGTGAAGATTAGACACCCCAATTTATTTCACCTGAAGATTAGCCACCCTATCACTACAGTAACCTAACCTAACCTAACCATTCTAACTTAACCTAACTCCTTAACCTAACTTAACCATTCTAACTTAACCTAACTCCCTAACCTGACCTAATCCCCCACTCCCATGTGTTTTGTCCGGGTGATAAAATAGGGTGTCTAATCTTCAGGTGATCCTTGGCGCAAATATTTCCCAATTTAAATATTTTTTCATCTAGATTATCGATAGTCTTGATATACAGAAGTGGAATAATTTTTATAACAACACAGTATCACCAGAGTTAAAACGCCAGCAAAGGTCAATGGTCAGAGGTCATGTAATGTTAAGTTTAAGACCTCAATATGAGATTCTAAGAGAAGAAAAGGAAAATTCGTTTTATTTAATTTTCCAAAGGTGCTCAGGTACAGATAAGGGAACAGCTGGAGAAAGAATTAATAAAGGAAAACACGATTAAGAAGGTCCCACTAAACGACAACAGATAGAGAAAAAATGAAGGAAAACAAACATATACTGTAAAGGTTGTCCCTCCTACTCGAGGATGGCCGGCACGAGGGCCACCTAGGCGTGAATTTGTTTCAAATGTAGAAGCTGTCGCCAACGCAACAACCGCTCCTTAAGTTAACGAGTTGCATGACCGACTGTCAAGGAACACGATCCACAAATCGATTAACATCCCAGGTCCCCAATTACTGCTGGTTAGACAGAGGCAAATGGCGTATCAATTTGCCCATAGTTTCACCCTGCCCAGGAATCGAACGTACATACATACATACATACATACATACATGCATACATACATACATACATACATACATACATACATACATACATACATACATACATACATACATACATACATACATACATACGCCCAACATTATTTTATGAGGAGTTCCCCTAAACACAGAGATAATGAAAAAAAACAACAACATATTTTTACATCAAAGTTGCCAATATTGTACTGAAATAACATAAAGATCAAGGGGTATTGTTTTTTGATAAGGGTGGAGGAGGGTGGAGAGTGACTGCCGTATACATAAACAGTATATGGGTTACACACACAATAATGTTTTTTTGTTTTTTTATGAAAGGTGAGGCTTGTGACGTCAGTTCATATTGATACAGCAATGGTAAACAGTAAATTGATTCACGCAAGGAAAGACCACTGTAGATGGATAGATAGATAGATAGATAAATAGTGGTCCATAGAGTCATATAAAAGTTTGTCAATAATAACAGTGACACTTTTACTGAATATCTATGTAATTATCTCTCTGTCTGTCTATGACTATTTTATTGAACTAATAGCTATCAATCGAATCCAAGACGCAGGTCGTATTCGGATGAAGGAGTCGAAACATACGAAGCATTTAGTGTTGTGTTCGGGCCAGTGGTGTGTGTGTGTGTACGTCGTGGCCTCTCAACGCCTCACTTTGCTTCCTTTAATTTTATTTTTTCCTTTTTGTGATCATTTATCTCTGTTTTCCTTCCTCGCCATTTCCCCTCACATGATTCACTAGTTAGCAATAAATAAGGTCCTATGCTTTTCTTCAGCACTTCTGGAAACATGATATAGTATTGTGTTCTGAGGAGATAACAGGATAACTTTTATTCTTTTAATCAATAAACTGTACTAGGAGGAAACATAGGAAGTTAATATTTAATAGTGTGAGTTTATGGTAGATTTCACTAGTAGGTAAATTTGTATACTTTATTAATAAGAAAAAAGTCGTACTCGAATTATTATTTTTTTTTTAAATATATTTACCGTATTACGTGTCAAAATTGTTTACTAATTGAGGTACACACACACACACACACACACACACACACACACACTGACACACTGTACAGATATAGCTTGAGTCATATTTCAGTTACAAGTTGACGTCGAGAGTTGTCTTTTTTTCAGATGAAGTTGTCTCATTAGTATTATCTCTCTGAGGTACAAATGGCGTCTTTAACTTAATCGTAAGCTAAAAATTCTGTGTTGTTTGGTATCCACGGAATAACACACACACACTTCTGAAGCCCCAGGCGATCACATGTAACTCATAAGATACCTGTCCCTCACATATAACTCATAAGACACCTGTCCCTCACAAACAACTCATAAAACACCTGTCCCTCACCTGTAACTCATAAGACACCTGTCCCTCACTTGTAACTCAAAACACCTGTCCCTCACCTGGAACTCATAAAACACCTATCCCTCCCAAACAACTCATAAAACACCTGTCCCTCACCTGTAACTCATTACACACCTGCCCCATACATTTCACCATGTTTTGCCGTCCAAGAAACAGGTGTATCCTCCCTGCTAGTACCTTTTCTCTGCACCTTAGCTCTAATATCACCCAGGGAACGTGATCTTAACTCCTTTACATTTGGCCACGTCCCTTCACCCTCACTATCTCATATTCACTTCGTAAACAACACATCAAGCTTGTCTGCATTGTCCTCGGTGCCTGGGGTGTATTTCGCTCGCATATTGTACTCTCTTCTGTCGTGGGGGATGAGTGTAGGCTACTGGATACACAGTGTAGAGAAGGAGTGTAGTGTGAGGAAGACTGTTGTGTGGAGTGGAGTGTAGATACATAGTGTGGACGATGATTGCAGAATACATAGTGTGGATGAACCAGTATCATTAAAAGAATCCTTGACTTCAGCAATATGAAGACGTTGGTAAATATAGAAAAGTTTTATATATATATATATATATATATATATATATATATATATATATATACTGTATATACTGTATATATATATATATATATATATATATATATATATATATATATATATATATATATATATATATATATATATATATATATATATATATATATATATATATATATATATATATATATATATATATATATATATATATAGATAGATAGAGAGAGAGAGAGAGAGAGAGAGAGAGAGAGTAGAAGGAAGGAATAAAAGATATGATCAAGATGGACATAAGAGAGAGAAAGAATAATAACAATAATAAGGGAAGAAAAACCACCTCATCTTTCTTCAACATACACGAGATTAATATTGCATTAGTGAGGAGGTAGAAG